AATGGTTACTCTTTGAAGTTCACGAACCGCTGGAGGGGTCGCAATATGACTAGACCTATGACGCTTCTGGCACCGAAAAGCGAGTCTATATTAGGTTACCACTCAGAGGTGACACAAATAATCTCATGTTGAAACAGAGACTTAAATTAGCTACCAACCGGACATTTTATGCAGCCCAACTTGTCATTATCGAAAAGACAAGGTCTATGTTTCACCAAAAGTCCAAACAGTACGAAAACGATTGTGTCACATTCCATTGTGTCTATCAATTTACACGTATGTGTGGAAACACGTACATAGGGAGGAGGAATCGTGATTTGCAATTAAGGGTGGGTGAACATATACCAAAATGGTTGCAGAATCAGATGAATTCCAATGGTGAAATGAGATCACATGATAGACAGACATCATCCACTGTGAAACATTTGATTGAAACGGGTCATAAGGTTGATATCAAATCAGCATTTGTTGTGTTGTACAAAAGCCTTCAAGGACGTATACTAAGGTTTATTGAAGCCTTGGCTATATGAAAATTGAAACCCCCTCTATATGTTCAAAAACACTTACCCTACCCTGGTAGTACTGATTTACTATCCAGAGTGGTAATCACATTTGTTTTTGTGTACTTTAATATTTTTCCTTTGTTATGACTTACCCTTAACCTGTCTAGTTGACCTTTTAATTTTCATATATAAATGTTCTTAACAAGTATATGTGTGATCAGATTGTTCGAAATGTATTACGCAAATATATCACATAATTCTGATAAACTACGTCTTCTCATTGCATTATCGAGATTTCTCAAACGGACTAACTGTTTTAAAAACATATTAACTAAGAAGTATAAATTGTTAATATAATAATTGTACTAGTTGTGATAAGAACAAAGGCTTAAATCAATATTTCATAACACGGGACATACGTGAAAGACTTGGGAAAGTAAACACTGAAATTACTTAGAAAGAACTATTCAGATGATTGAAAAGGGAAGCATATATCTTTTTTTTAAAAAAAAGGGTGAGAAAAAAGAATGAACGAACAAAGAATATAAAGAACGATAATAATTAAAATCATTTGTTAAGCCCTAATCAGCTAAAGAAGAGATAAATATGTTACAAACTTCTTATGAGCACAAAGATTTTAGTTATTGGCTTGAATTATTATAACTTTATATGTAAGAGACAAGACCAAACCCTATAGGGTAAGACAGTAGATATTCATTAAATTAATCAAAATGATTTGTCTATGTTTCCTATAAGAATGTTATTCACTAAATGTGTTAGAACAATGAGTATTGTTTTGGTTATAACCTTTCCCAATCATGAGGAGAGGTGTTCACTAATTCGGTTCATTGATTATTAATTACTTATATAATATAGATTATTGTTATCATTACTTCATAGATTGCCTTGATCGATTTAATATTTTCATTTATTCATGTATATATCAATACATACTAAAGTGAAGCCTAATAAGGATTTAATTAGAAACAATATTGTTCATCTATATACGTTATTCTAAACTTTATTATAGTAGCGAAATAACATGTTTGGGTATTAGCATTTCAATTATAAATAAACGTAGTCTTCATTACCATTAGTTAAAGATTACTCATTTTTCCCAATGAATATGTATTAATTGACAAATAACAAATTTCAAAATTTTATTTATAAATATACAAATTATACAATAAATTTATTAATCCCAATTGTCATCATGACATGGGATAAACTGAAATAAATTCTATCTATCAGTTATTGAACTATGTTAAAGTTAGACATTAACATCATTGGATACCGGCTCGGTGGTCTAGAGGTTAAGCATTCGCTCGCGAGATGGAAGATCCTGGGTTCGAGTCCCTTGTGTTGGATTATAAATGTGCACTGCTGAGGAGTCCTATACTGGGACGAAATGGTTGTCCCAGTATGCTTCTAGGTTTTCCATGGTGGTCTAGCTTTAATCGACTCATCAATTCAACTATTAAATTATCATATTTTACTCAGATAAAGATGTCGAGTTTGTTCAAGAAGTAAGTGTTTTTGTAGAAAACCCCTTAAAAATATTCCTTTTTCACTATGTGTTGTTAAAAACGAAAAGAAAAAGCACTTAATATCTAACCAATAAAAATTATTTAGGTCATGAACTTGATCTATTTAATTTTTATTAATACAAGTATTCGGGACGTGGGGACTGATAAATACAACTAATATTAGTACCATTTGAATAATGGTTTTACATAGTAAATTACTCTAGAAAAAGTGATTAATAAGTGATAAGGTCATTATATTAATGGTGTCATGAAAGCCATTTGTTTTCATATGTGACATTATTATTGATAATGTTACAATTATATATGCCTATGTAAACGGTAGTTTCAGGTTTTGCATGATGTATGATAACTTGAAAAAAATCGTATCCTCTTAAATCTTATATTTTTCAAAAGGAATGGTCTAACTTTAAAAAAAAACAAATATGAAGCTGAATTCATTACATTATATTCTTGAATAATTCAATGTAACTATTGTGTATACTACTTATGCTGACAGATATAAGTTGTATGTAACACCAATCAGAAGTGGAATACTTGACAGTAGAAGGTTAAGAAGATCGAATTAACGAGAAAAGAAATGTAAACAGAGATTAACTGTATTAACAACAGTAAGGAAGGGACGATGAAGTTTATAAGAGACAACTGATGGTAGATGTATATATATATATATATATACATATATATATATACATATGTATATATATATATAAATTTTTTTCTAAGACACTTTATTATTTTGCATTAAACAAAAAAATGGTTATCCCCATTTAATATCTTCACTCACCACATAACAATCAAATTAACATTAAAGTCTTTCAATAAAGAAATTTTTAAAATTTAATTACTAAATATTTTGTTTTGTTGATTAATATTATAATCTATAATACTTTGATGTGTGCTACTGGTATTGATAGATATAAGTAGTATGTATCATCAATCAAATATATATATATATATGTATATATATATATATATATATATATATATAATATACCCTTGTTGGCCAGGGTAATTTTACATTGGTTTTCAGGAGAACCAGACACCATCCGGACTTTCACGTAAAAACCCAAACAGTACAGCTCAACCCCGTTTAGCAGGGGAACCAGACACCGTATAGGCTTTGACGCTACAATCTGAATAGTACAGCTCAATCCTGCGGCGCAACTACACAGGTACCAAGCACCCTGGTGGACCATTCGCACCATTCATATACACATTCACATCACATGTATAGTTATTCCGATCAATGATTGTGTGAATCAATTATGCACAGCACGAACAGGCCAAAGTCGACCTATTCATTTACTATCTCATTTACTACAATAAAAGCATTATGAAAAGTTTATGTAGTTTAGTTAACTGATAAATAATTCTAAATAACATGGTATACCTTTACATTTTGTGTTTCAACTATTTTAATAAGTGATAATTAGATGAATATTTTTTGCTTTCTTTAAAGCCATTTACTATAGTTCATTAATTTTGTCAAGTTATCTAGTATAGAATAACTTCTATTCATGCATACAAAATGACAAATAAAATTCATTTTATTCTATGGATGATTGAAAAAATAAATAAAAAAATAAAAGGGGATATGTTTTTTTTTCCCAATCATTTAACAGTATTTTTATTAGGATCTATAACCATTTATCATTTGAAAGTTATTCATAATTGATGATCTTTAAATCGTCTTCTTTTTTATATATCATTAAGAATATTCTCTTTTTATAAACATTTAACTATAGAATCTGGTGAGCGGCCTATGCTACTTCACGACGAGTAACAGGCGTTAGTAAGTAAGTAACTATAGAATAATAATAATTATGGAATCCATTAAAGTATTGCTTCTTATTCAACTTTCATCATTAGTGAAATCTATGATTACAAATGAATAAACAGGGTAATATTAGCATTTTTTCTTATCTTCTGTATTGTTACATACTTACTGATTCTTTATCAATGATATTGTTCATACGTTTAGATAATACATACATATATTTTAATAATATAATCATTGGGTTAACGTTTTATCACCTTTGATTATCTTGTTAATTGCAATTCAGAAAAGTATATTTATTAAGTTTATATTAATTGATTATCATAAACAAAGTGTTGCCTTCCACTTAATGAATTCATGGTTAGAATACATTTTGTCGTAGTCCTCCTTTACTTCGTTAAATTATTCAATATTTCTCATACATATGAAAAGGTACTATTAAATCTCCCTAATGTGGGCTATTTTGATAATGATTTTTGTCAAAATTAAAAATGTACTAGTCGATGATATGCCAAAACATTGAATAATCAGCATTTATATACATATATATGTGAGTAACCGAAAGAATAGATGGCAAGACTATAATTTATAGACGAACTAATCACGTTTAGGATGACAGGTCTCGGATTTTGGCGCGAATTCCATTCATCCAGTTGTGTAAATAGCGTCTTGGCATTTTAGATGATGTTAGTTCGTGATGAAAACCATAAATCTAATTCCTAACCCTAACCATCAACTATAAATCATAATCCTTACTCTTCATACAGTCTTATAACCATTATTTAACCCTAGTAAGTAGGTGGACATTCCCAAGATCAATTTAGCGTCGCTCACCAAATAAATTTCTAAATGTGACTAAAGTAGCTGGTAACCTGTTTGAAGAACAAAACAAACCAATAAATTTCAATAGTTGAGATCATGAGTCAATTGAAACTAGACCACTATAGAAAACCTGAAAGCACTAGAGATCCGTTTCGTCCTGTCCTGGGACTCCTCAGTAATGCACATCCACGATCCAGTGCTTCCAGGTTTTCCATGGTGATCTTGCTTTAATTGACTCATGATCTCAACTATTGAAATTACTATAATATCCACAAAAATCCCTTCTGATATAAAGAAAATTAATAAACTACCAATGGAAGAAAAAAAAATAATTTTTCTTCTATAACTTACTTGTACAATAAAATTGAATACTTTGCACCAAAATATACCAAATATCCAACTTTTTAAAAAATATTGCATTACAGTTATAGGACTTGTCATTGTTAAATAAATTAAATCTGTTACAGCTAAACCAACACAAAATGTTTCATAAACCATACGTGTTTGATTACATGTTAATACGCATATAACTAATACATTACCTATTATACCAATTGTTACAATACAACATACTAAACATGCCATAATAATTACAGAGATTTCAATATCAGGTCGTATAATAGAATGTAATTCCATAGAAACATCATGATTTATTGTATTATTTATTGAATTAGAGAAAACAGGAAATAATACTGTAATAAATATAATCAAGATCATGATGATAGTAGTATATAATATAGTATAACAAAGATTAAATAATTATTGAATTAAATTTTAATATTGTGAGTAATATCTAAGACATTTTTTTTTCATTGTTATATATTTGTTTTAGATGCTAATAAGGTTAAATCATTCTATTGAAGTTAATCATAGAACTACAGAAATAAATATAATAATCGAAAAGTGTTTCTTTGATCCAATAGTTTCATAAAAAGCATAATATAAAAATTGCCTATCTGTTTATTTTTCTTTTTTTTGTTTTTTTTATATTTTTGGGTGAAGCTTTAATGTGATTGGTCAATTCATGTTTTTGTTGTTTAGCCAATCTGAAATAGTTATTTAGTAGAGTAATTTGTTTAAATAATTTAGTTTTGTGATTAATATCATAGACTACTAGGAACCAAGAAGAATTGAAGAGATGTTTCGTCTGAGTATAAGACTTATCAACAGTATATATCTATGCTCACTGGTATTAAGCATCTAACTTAGGACATGTGTCGCTCGATTTCGTGGATTAGTTGGAGTTAGACATTAACACCGTTGGATGTCTGCTCAGTGGTCTAGAGGTTAAGTGCTCGCGCGCGAAACCAGTAGGTCTTGGGTTCAAATCTCGCAGGGGTCGAGGTTGTGGATGAGCACTGCTGAGTTCCACAATGGGACTAAACGACCGTCCAGTGCTTCCAGGTTTTCCATGGTGGTCTAGCTTCAAATGACTCATGATCTTAACCATTGAAATTATGACATTTAGTCTGATATCTAGAATATTAACATTTAGATAATTGAACTGGAATTTAATGTTTTTTATTTGAGTTTAATTTTAATTTGTTTTGTTCTAATTCTATACAAAATAATAAATCTTTATTTAAAATTAGAATAGAAAACAAATTCAATCCAGAATAGTTGTGGTTTATTACTATTACCATCTTTACGTTTTGATATGAGACTGAAATCATTCTAATCTCAAATAACGTCTCATTTTAATGTCACAAGTGACATAAATTACATATAATGCTTCTTCAATCAGAAATTAATGTACTTACATACGTACGCCTGTCACTCCCAATCGAGCATAGGCCGCAGACCAGCATTCTCCAACCCACTCTGTCATGGGCCTTCTTTTCTAGTTCCATCCAATTCTTGTTCATTTTTCTCATGTCTATCTCCATTTCCCGGCGTACTATGTTCTTTGGTCTTCCTCTCCTCCTTTGGCCTTGAGGATCCCATGTGAGGGCTTGTCTTGTGACGCAGTTCTGTGCTTTCCTCAATATGTATCCTATCCACTGCCAGCGCTTCTTCCTGATTTCTTCCTCCACTGGGATCTGGTTTGTCCTTTCCGATAGTAGGTTGTTGCTAGTAGTAACCGCCCAATGGATCCGAAGTATTTTGCATAGACAACTGTTAATAAACACTTGTATCTTCTGGATGATGGATTTCGTAGTTCTCCAGGTTTCTGCCCCAAACAGTAGAACTGTCTTGATATTTGTATTGAAAATTCTGACCTTGGTGTTGGTTGACAGTTGCTTTGAGTTCCAGATGTTCCTCAGTTGTAAATACACTGTTCTTGCTTTGCCGATCCGCGCCTTCACATCTGCATCAGATCCACCATTTTCATCGATGATGCTGCCCAGATATGTAAAGGTTTTTACAACTTCCAGATCTTCCCCATCAATTGTGATTTGATTGGTGCATGCTGTGTTGTATTGGAGAATCTTGCTTTTCCCTTTGTGTATATTGAGACCTACTGTTGCTGAATTGCTGCTACACTGGTCGTCTTCTCCTGTATTTGTTGTTGCGTTTGGGATAGAAGGGCCAGATCGTCTGCGAAGTCTAGATCATCCAACTGCATCTTAGATGTCCATTGTATCCCGCGCTTCCCTTCAGATGTTGAAGCCTTCATGATCCAGTCGATCACCAGGAGAAAGGGAAAGGGTGAGAGTAAGCCACCTTGCCTGACACCGGTTTTGACCTCGAACGAATGTGTCAGCTGTCCTCCATTCACGACTTTGCAATTTAACCCACCATAGGAATTCCGGATGATGTTGATATCTTCTGAGGCACGCCGTAGTGTCGAGGAAGCTTCCATAGTGTTGTTCTGTTCACGCTATTAAATGCTCTCTCGTAGTCAAGGAATTTGATGTAGAGTGATGAATTCCATTCAATTGATTGTTTTACAATGATCCGTAGAGTTGTAATTTGGTCTGTACACAATCGATCCTAACGGAATCCAACCTGTTGATCTCGAAGTTGAATGTCTATGGAGTCCTGCATTCTGTTCAACCACACCCTGTTGAAGACTCTTTATGCCATTGAGAGAAGAGTGATGCCCCTGTAGTTCTCACACTTGCTGAGATCGCCTCTCTTTGGTATTTTGATCAGAAGTCCTTCTTTTCAGTCTGTTGGTACTTGTTCCTCATCCCAAATCTTATTGAAGAGAATGTGGGGTATCCTTGCAGTTGCCGCTACGTCTGCTTTTAGTGCCTCTGCTGGGATGTTGTCCGGTCCTGCTGCTTTGCCACTCTTGATTTGTCTGATGGCCATGCTGATTTCTTCAATTGTTGGTGGGCCAACATTGATTGGGAGGTCCGTGGGTGCTGCTTCGATGTTGGGTGGGTTCAGTGGAGCTGGTCGATTCAAGAGTTCTTTGAAGTGTTCTACTCGCCTGTTTCAGTGTTCGTCAATGTTGGTGATTACCTTACCTTCCTTGCCTTTCACTGATCGTTCTGGTTTACGGTGATTTCTAGAGTTTCTTTGTTGTGTCGTACAGTTGTCTCATGTCTCCTTCTCTTGCAGCCTTTTCCGCGGTCGCTGCTAAATCTTCCACATATTTACGTGAAGTCCATGTGGTTTTGTGTATGCGTTTATGTGGGAATATGGTGCCGCCTATGACCAGCTTATTGAAGGCACATAGATTTGCAAATCTCTCACCGTTTTCGCTTCTTTCTCCCAGTCCGTGTCGTCCCATAATGTCTTCATATCCAGTGTTGTCCGTTCCAACCTTGGCGTTGAAATCTCCCATCAGAATGGACAGGTCCTTTATTGGGCACTTCTCGACGATTGACTGCAGCCTATTGTAGAATTGATCTTTAGCGTCTACATTGTAGTCGTATGTAGGCGCATAGCATTGGATGATGTTCATTGAAATATCCTCTTTCTTTGTTTTGAACGAGGCTTTCATGATCCTTGGTCCATGAGATTCCCATCCTATAAGCGCATTTTGTGCTTGTTTGGACAGCATCAACGCAACTCCTTGTGTACGTGGGGCATTTTCTTCTTCATGACCGGAGTATAACAGGAGCTCTCCTGTAGTTAGTCGTTGTTGTCCAACTTGTGTCCAATGTGTTTCACTGATCCCAAGTACCTCTAGGTTGTATCTTCTCATTCCTGCAGAAATTTGGAAGGCTCTCCCGGTGTCCCACATTGTACGAACATTCCATGTACCTAAATAAATGGTCGCTCTGGTTGTCAGAAGGGGCATCGGTCTCGTAACTTCCGACGGAATTCGGCTTTCATCATGAGGCGTCATAGTTCTTTTAAATGAAGACCTTCTGACTCCCATGGCAGAGTTTAAAAGGTTTGAATATTTTTTTCTGGTTAGCGTTTTTTTTAGCGAGTTAGTTTACCACGGGATGGGGACGCTAAGCCCATGCCCTACCTTTCTCCTTTATCCGGGCTTGGGACTGGCAGTGGCCCCCAGAGGGACTCCAGGCGTAGCTTATGCGATTTGATTAGAAGATATATATGTTCTTAAATCCTATTATTAGCGTTCGCCTTGCCTCGTTGCGCTTTTATTCGATTTGACTATAAATTCGCACGCTCACATGTATTAGCCTTTCTGCTCCAAAGCTGCTGAATGTGCTTGTAGATTTGTTATCCGTGCTATCCAACAATAAACGCTAGTATCCGCTTCTTATACCCTTCTGATTTCAAATACCGCGGGATTTATGTAATAACGGTTATCAAGGTAATTGATTGACGAAGCTAAATCACTAAACTAGGTAAACTTTTGTAAATCTTAGATTTTAAAACCCAAAAAATTATAAACATTGTTTTGAACTGATAAATCAACATGAGTTAGTTACAGATTTGAAAACAATGAACAGGATTATAGAATAAATTCTATTGCAAGTTATTGACAAGAATGTTTATCAGACGAAACTCTTAAAGCACATTTTTCTCCGTAAAATTCTTTAAGAATATCACAATAGAAACTGGTCATCTAAATAAGTTGAACTAATGGATCAAAACCAGATATAGAGACAAAAATCATCCAATTAACCATTTATTTTGGCATTAAGCTTTTTATTATGTTAAATGAAAGAGAATCGCTTTAATTCATTGAAATCATGAACACATCTAAGTTAAAGCTCCATTGAAAACCTGAAACCATTGGACACCCGTTTTGTCTTAGTATAGGACTCCTTAGTAGTACTCATCTACAACCCGCACAAGGAACTCAAACTAAAAACATTCGGCATCTCGCGTGAACGCTTAACCTACAGACCACTGAGTCAGCATCCAACTGTGTTTATCTCTAACTTCAACTAATCTATGATGTCGCACGACCATTTTCGATTGTCTTCTGTGGGTAACTGCCTCATACCCAACACAGTTGGACTTCAGTGGTCACGGCTTTTCACTAGAGCTCCAAAAATTTCCACTAGAAGTTAATCACTGGTACGTAAATGGTAACTTTCACTAAAGAGTTGTGGAGCTTATTGTAGCTCATATTCAGTTGAATGAACATTATATCATCCAGATAGATTTACCGATAGAATTCCGAAATTGCTGGTAAGTATTTGCATTTGAACTTGTTGTAACATTAGTAATTGCATTCACAGAACTTTCAGTAAAAGTTATTTTAATATCTGATATACGTTTGTTGAGAAGAATACTGAATTAACTGTTTTAAATCGTTTTCAGTATACTTAAACCATTATTTATCAAGGGGGTTTTCACAAAGTCAAAATCTTGACCAAAGAGATTTGTCATAACAGAATGTCTTCATAAGGT